GCCCTCCCCCCTTCCTATTATGTTGGTATATCAACAGAGCAAAAGCAAAACTCAATTTCTCTCCACCACCACCCCACTTTGACAAAGTCCTTGATGTTGTAGTACAGATGAGTGAACAACATCTACTGGGCACTCTTCTTTTGAAATGTTAATTAATTTACCTTTTGGCGAATTGGCTTCCTGTGAATACAAAATAACTCTTTATTCCCACCTTATCCTGAAGGTTTGAGGAAAGATCTCACTAAATTTATTCATTTATTAGATTTTTATCCCCTCTTTATTACTTTATAAGTAACTCAAGGTAGTTGAACATACCTAATGCTCCTCCTTCCTCCTGTTCCTGAATCAGTGTCCTCCGCAATTCCCTTTATCAGTCCGAGGGGGCATGCTGGTTATGACCTACATGTAAATTATTGACTAGTCCGGCTGGGGAACACTCATTGCTGTGTATTTGTTTGGTTTTATCCATCCTTGCTGAGTGATGTGAATCAAAACATAACTTGCTCAAAGCCCTTGGACTGTTCTTCTTCTGGGTCTCAGTCCAGCTTCCACTGGGCTGCTTCTCTAAGGAACATAATTTAAAATAGGGGTGAGCATCTAGCAGGGTCATCTAGCCCTTCAGCACTCTCCAGTTGCACTGCTGACATTGGGAGTAAAAAGGTTAGGTGTTTGGTGGAGAGATATTGTTGCTACGAAAATAAGAGCCCAGCCCTATTTATATGGTAAAACTTAATTTTCCTGACTTATTCCTTATGCCCTCAAAGTAAAAATGATTTACCCATGTTAAATCTTAATGCTTAGTCTTTACATCTCCCTTCATTCCATTCTGAGGACATATTGCAAGGTAGGGCAATACTGTTATAATTTATATGTAGTTCTTAATTTGCACCATTTGTTTAGCAATCTTTCAAGGTTACAACCGTGGTCCCCACACTTGCAGTTTCCCCATGGTCATGTGCTCAAATTTAGTTGCTTGACAACATGTATTTATGACGGTTGGGCAGCATGCCATGTCATGCGATTGCCATTTGTGAACCTCCCAGCTGGTTTCTGACAAGCAATGTCAAGGGGAGAAGCCAGATTTGCTTAAGGATCAAAAGAGTTACTTAACCATTGCAGTGATTCGCTTAAAAACAATGGCAAAAAAAGTCATAAAATCGGGCGCAACTCACTTGTTTAGCAACAGAAATTCTGGTCCCAACTGTGTTCATAAGTTGAGGACTAGCGGTACAGTTTGTGAGTTAATGGGTATCTTCCTTAAAGTCCCCTTAATAAATTCATGCTGGAGTTGAATTTTCAATTGGGACTTTCTGGTGTAGAACTACGGCACTCAGGCTTCCATCCTTTGTGATATGCTTATTACATATAGCTCCATCCTATACCTCACTCGTGTTACAGGTAGCTTTTGACTTGCAATCACAATTGAGCCCAAAATTTCTGTTCCTGAGCAAGACCATTGTTAAGTGAATTTTGCCCCATCTTATGACCTTTCTTGCCACAGTTGTTAAGGGAATCACTGCAGTTGTTAAGTTAGTAAGTCAATCTGGCTTCTTCATTGAGTTTGTTTGTCAAAAGGTCACAAAAGGTGATCACATGCCCCCAGGACACTGACACTGTCATAAATACATGCCAGTTGCCAAACTTTGATCATGTGACCTCAGGGATGCTGCACTGGTTGTAAGTGTGAAAAACAATCATATCTTTTTTCTCCTGTAACTTCCAACGATCACTAAACAAATAGTTGTAAGTTGAGAACTTACCTGTACTCATAGATTTCAGTGGAACAATTTCTAGATGAACCTGTATAAGAATGTAACCCTGGTCCCTTGAGCACCCTGGCCTGTCTGCTTTTTTTTGGCCCAGATGGCAGTATGGCTCATTTCCAGTGATCGCTCCAGGCACCTTCCTTTTTTCTGCCCAGAGGGGGATTGAAATGTGCATTAAGATTACTTTTTTATATGCATCAGGAGAGGGGAGAGGGAAAGCAGCAAAAAAAAAAGTCAGTGATGGGTGGATTTTGAAAACCTGATGTAGTTGGGTATTGAGAAAGAGTGAGTGAATGGAAGTACTGAGTTACAGATTCGAGATCATTTGCTAAGACTGCCATGGATGGCAGGAAAGGTAAAATTGGTCCTGACTGTTTCCTTGAGTTGTTACTCAACAAACAATAATTAGGGCATGCAATTTGGGGGAATGATAGACTAAGAAAAACATCTCTCCTTGTCGCAAAGTTCAGGGATATGGAAGGAGAAGGCAGCAAATGTAATGGATGGATGGGATCAGGGAGATAATTGGGATGTCCTTGGAAGAATTGCAGAGGATGTTTGCCCATATAATCACCAGGGTTGGGCCTGACTTAATAGCCCTAACTAACCAAATATAAGTAATAAATGTTGAAGTATTTCCATCTCAGTGGAACGTATGTAATTTTTTGTGGGGACAGCAACAAGCAAGGATGTCTGGGGAGATTCTCAGTCATTTGGGTCATAGTTGCCTCAAAGGTATTTTTTTTTCTGGGCTGTTTTTTTTTTTGTTGTTTGAGGAAGAAGAAGAAAATGTTTCGCTTCTCATCCAAAAAGCTTTATCAGTTCTGATGACGGGAGAGAGGGGAATGGGAGGATAGGTAGTGACAATTGAGAGTGGATGGTAGAGGGATGGAAGGATAAGTTCTGATAGAATGGTGGGATGTGTGGAAGGATTATATTCCTTTGCAGTCTTCTGGTCTCTTCAGGCAGCACAGTTTGCCTCACATGAAATACTGAAACAGTACTTTCATCTGAATGGGATTTTTCATCAAATCTCTTTTGATTTTGTAGTTTTCCATTTTTTTAAAATAACAAATTATTTGATTTTTCAAATGTATTAATGATTTAACATATAAAAGGGGGGAAAACACCATACAACAACATAGAAAAAACATAAATAAAAATAAACTAATAAGAGAAAAAACTGTTAGAATACCTAAATATAAAATGAAAAGCTCAATTCTTAAACAAATTGAAATTCAATCAGATAAAGAACAATTGAATGACTGACCTCAGTCTAGTTCATATTCCATCCAGAGATTTATGTCAAGTGTGAAAGAATAAAACAATATGTTTAGTTGTATCCCCTGTATAGGAAAGCTAAATCTCCATAATTGATTTTTCAAATGTGATTTAACTTCACATTCACATCTTTAACGTTTGTTTTCTCAGAAACTTAGTGAATATTAAACCAAAATAACGGCACAAGAAAACAAGGGCAAAATGTGTGAGTTGTGTCTCTTCCAAAATATTATATTTCTGATATATAGAAACCCAATCTATACAACATACAAGTAGTCCTCAATTTATAACCATTTGTTTAATGACTATTTGAAGTTACAACGGCACTGAAAAAAGCGATTTATGACCATTTTTCACACTTATGACAGATGTAGCATCCCCATGGTCACATAATCAAAATCCGGCCGCTTGGCAACTGGTTCATATTTATGACAGTTTCAGTGTCCTGGGATCATATAATCATCTTTTGCAACCTTCTGATGAGCAAAGTCAATGGGGGAAGCCACTGAACAACCACATTACTAACTTAACAACTGCAGGGATTCACTTAAGAACTGTGGCAGGAAAGGTTGTAAAATGCAGCACTTTAACAATTATCTTGCTTAGGAACAGAAATTTTGGGCTCAGTTGTGGTCCTAGGTCAAGGACTACCTGTATTGTGTGGTGCATCTAATATTCTTCAGAAAAAATCTTTGGTTGTGTTAATTACATTTTAAGATTGCAAGATAGGGTTGCTTTATTAAAACAAGATATTGCAGCTCTTTGTTCTAAATTACCTGTAGGTTATATCTATCTAACCTTATATCTATCTAAGTGCTATTTTTCAGTTATACATAAAAATTAATAGTTGTTTGGGAACCTCCAACTCTTTTTCCAACAATATTAATCATGTAGGAGTTTGGGGCACTGCTAACGCATGTCTCAAATTGCAACATCAGAATAAGACTTTATATTGCTGTTTTCAGGTTTATGCTGTCCATATTTAAATCATTTTTTTTACTATAATCTGTTGAATGGGAAATGAGACAGAATCAGCCTTGTAAATGAAAAAAGTAATACTGTATTAGCTTGTTTAGCCAATTGATTAATTATGTGTCACCAAAGCATTTTTTACTTCCAGCGATCACAGATAATCTGCATGATTAGTCAAATTACTGGTTTATTCTTGCTCCCATTTTAGGTGTCCTTGCCTGCATATAAACGATTCAGAAAATCGTTTAGGCAGAGCTCTAAAATAATCCAGTAGTAATCCAGTAAACTATAAACCAAATCCAGAGATCTTGTTAAGCCACAGTTGTAATAAATAAGCTAATAAACAATGGTATCAAACTCTGGCTTACTTACTTAAACAATCCATGGGTTACCACTGGTGCCATCAAGAATCATTCTAAGCTATAATGGCTAAAAGAAGTGTGCTCTATCAACAAGAAGCAACAGAGTATTCTGACTTTCTTGCATATGTGCTTGAATGCTGCTTGTCACTTAGCACTTTGCAAACTATGCTTCATGTTTCTATAAGGGTATGCTTTAAAATACTTCAAAAGATAGTTGTGAGAAATTAAATGCAGGCAATGTCTCCCAGGAACAAATTTATGAATAACAATTTATGGAGCAACATACATTTATGGAGGATTATATTACGTTGCAGGACAGAATGACTGATCTATTGTCCCATTTTTGTGTGTGGATGTGGGGTGAAAAAATTATCAGAATTGCCATGTTGGTGGAGAGCAGAATGTTCTGTGGCTATACCAAAAAATGCAGCAAGCCAGTTGCATTCCTGTTCCAGATCCCTAATGTGTGTTCATTCAGACCATTTGTTCAATGGAAGAAATATCTTCTGATGATTCCAGACAATTTCTGAGTTGTACTAAGATTGTGGGAGGCCCAGATTCAAATCTAGCAGTTGCCTAAATATTTGGGTATCATTCACTTTGTCTCTTTCTTTTCCAGGGGCAAACAAGCCTGGTGTCTCTCTCTCCCAGGACTTTCTTGCAGCAGAAGAACTACTTGAAGAACTACCTTTGGGAAGTCGCTGCAGTACAGGCAGAAGTTGGTGCCAGCAGCCTTTCTCCTGCGGCAGTGGGGACTTCCTCCCCTCATCCTGTCCCTCTCCTGGCTGGAGAGGTGGGCAATGGCTGGACAACTTGCACTCCTTCTGACAGTGTCTCTCCAGTCCCTTTTGCATCCTGCATGGGGTCAGGGTGGGTGAGCTACCTTTGCTGCCATAAAGGAAAGAAGAAAGGGCTGGCTAGAATTTGGGGAGGGAATTTGGCATCTCTGCTGGCTGGTGGTTTGTACAGTTGCCTGTCTGCTAAATGATTGCCTCAAAGAGTGGATTGTGTCCAACAGTCAGAATGTCTTCTCTAAATTACTCCTCCCCTCCCTCCCGAAACATTGAAAGTCTGCATCTGCAACAGTTTGGACAGTAAATATCCAGCTTATACTACAAATTCTAGGAATTCTATCTCCTGTTGAAGTATGATTGGCTTTCATTGATTGGCTTTATTTTGATATCTTAGACCATACAGTATTTAGCAAGAGTGCAATGTCATAGTTAAACAGTGCTCCATGTAAGGTATCATTATATACTTATTTTTATTTGATTTGTTCTACTTACAAACCCCCTCAAATGCTAAAGCAAATCTAAGGGAATAGGCAATAAATTAATGAAAACATTTGAGGGGGGAAAAACTGAAAAAAAAAATCAATAATAAACCAGATACTGTACCATTAAATACCATGTTGGGAGAAAACAGCATAAATAATAAACCAATTAAAATATTCAGTTATCAAATTAAATATGGAGCCAGAAATCACTTTGCCCCAAGGACTGCTGAACAAAGCCAAGTCTTCAAGCTTTCTGAAAATCCAGCAGAGTCTGGATCAGTGTTTCTCAACCTTGACAATTTTAAGGCATGTGGATTTTGCTGGCTGTGGAATTCTGGGAGTTGAAGTCCACATGCCTTAAAATTGTCAAGGTTGAGAAACACTGGATGCAATCCCAGCAGGCATGGGTGTAGCCATATAGAGAATGGCTGCCGCGAGGCCCTGTTAGATTGCAAGCTTTAGTGTAGGACCAGGAACACCTGCTTTCATTGTTTATTTTGAGAAAGCTCCATTTATTTAAATTTAATTAAGCTGAATTCAATTTAACCCTTGAACGTTTGATTGTTTTGCATAGCCTTCGTTCTGAACTGGATTTTAAAACTTGGAAGAGTTTGAATACAAACATTTCAACTTTATTGTTATTCTGTTGCACAAGCTACCTTAGGGGACTTTAGTCCATAAAGGTAGCTTAGAAATAGTTGTAATAAATAAATTATGCAACATTATGGACACAATCTATTAAATTTGAAGTGTCACGATTTGCCAAACAGTTATAAATACATATTTGACTTCCATTTTGGTAGAGCGGAGGGGCAAATTAGTTTGTGTTCAGAGAGATCACAATTATGTATGCACCTTGTTCTTGTAGTTTTGATTTCTCTGCAGTCTGAGAAAGCCGGTAGCCTTAAAATTTCTGCTCATTCAAATATAGTGAGACATTAAAATAATAGATCAACTAAAAGCAGAATCCTTTTCTTTCCTCTGTGGCTGAATTCTGAATTCTGAATCTCTGAATTCTTTGGCTCTTGGCTAGATCTCACCTACAAATTGCAAAACAGTTTCAGGGTATAGCTCAGACTCCTTCAGGCCAGGGAATGAGATCTGGCTAAATCGTTAGTGCCCTCCTATCATCTGGGCGTGGATTCTCTGAAACTTGGAAAGACTGCTGAAACCTGGTGGCTCCACCTCGTACCTTCTCATACCTGGAACAGTGCTCAGGCCAAGGCAGAAACGGAATGCCTGGGAGCAGAAACTGTTCAAACATGAGCCACACCTGCCCCAAGAGCAAGGTGAAAGCATGTCAATGGAAGTTTCTTTAAAAACAAAACCACCAGCAATTCCGTAGTCAAGGGAGTCATTTCCTAAATGTTGCATTTCTGGGTGAGGTTTAACAATCTTGCTGGTATTTGGGACATTTTAAAAAGGGAACTCATGGATGGAGTATTCAGTTTGAAAAGATTGTTGAGCCCTGTGATAAAACACAGATTGCCAAATTAGTCTGAAAATGTATTTATGTTGGCAGGATTTGAATTAAACTCTGTGGAAGTGGTGTATCTATGTTTCTGCTTCCCTAATGCCAAAACATTAACTTGGGTATAAATAGGGCAGGCAATATCCCAGTAGTAATTGTCTAAGGACCTAGTGGTGAGCTTGAATGTTTGAAACAACCAACTCTAACTAGCATTGGGAATTAGTGAATGATTGAAGCTATTCCTTAACGACCATTTCTTTCTGGCACTACTACCCTGGATTGTCCATGGATATTTATCGGTTTCACACACAGAACTACTATATCTCATTGTTTTTATTCAAACAAAAAAGAAACAATCCAGGTGAACAGGTTGGAAAACCACCTATTTGCCACATTACAAAGATGCCTGGGTATATTATGTCATAACGGTTAGTCACTGGGTGGCGTTGCATTTAGTTGTGTATGGCTGGATAAAAAAAAAATCCCATTAGCTTGGATAAATTTGATTTCTTGGCTGGTGTGTTATTACAAATCAACTTGAAGGAAAGACATGAATGGAGTATCATTGAGATCTGTGCTGAACCCTATGATGTTCCATAATTTTATTCCTGATTTAAATGCTTCTATAGAGTGTTTTTTAAAATCAGACTGGAGATCTAAAGCCTGTTTTATGCTCCTGCATTTAGGTCCAAGAATAAAGGCAACTGAGTAAGGTGGCAACAATGTGTATGAAAAGTCTAACGGCCGACATTGTTGACAAGCTGACCATGATCCAGCAAAGTGGCAGAACCACTAATAGTAAAGACTAATTTTCATTCAGCAGTGCTTTCATATGCAATACCATGTCCTATTTATGGTTAAATGGTATTTTAAGAAAAAATGCCACTGGAAAGTCCAGAAAAGCAGCCACGATGGTGAGGGGCATAGACATGACAGAATAGGGAAGAAATTGACTATACAGTATGTGTAGGGTTGAGGAGAGAAGATTGGAGTGATATGATATCAATTGTCAAATATTTTTTGGGGGGGAAATAACATCTAGAAGATGGAGCAGAATTCTTTTTTGTGTTCCAGAGAACAGAAACTATTCCTGAAGACAAATTAGATGTGCAAACCCAATTAGAAGGACTTTCCTAATAGACACCAATTTTGAATAGACTGTGTTATGAGACCGTGTCCTTATTTTTACTGGAGGGACTTAGGGAGAGCTTCAGTAGTCTCCTATCTGGAATGCTGTAGTTTGTAATGGAGAAGTGTTGTACAACATCATCAGCAAGATTTCTTCCATGGCATTAGAGCCAGGTATGAGGCCCTTCCTGTATTTCTAATGCTGTTTTATGTCTCTCCAAGGTTCCTCCACTGACAACAGTACTGCGGGGTCTACAGCGGCGCCATCCACTTCTTCCAAAGGCCTCTCGGTAGGTGTCTCGGAATGTGAGCTTAGTTACTAATAGTTCTTGAGGGAAAGGAATAGTAACCCTAGAGCAATTTCCCTTCTTTCCAGTGAATGAGAAGAAGAACACAACTGGTGTTTGTGTTTGATATGGTAAAATTGGGTGACTCGAGGATTGATCATTATACTAATATAAGATTGGCAATGTGGAACATCACCACTAGATGGTGCCTATTGACTCACAAAGTACTCCACTTTTTAAAAGAGACAAATCTTGAAAGATAGTTGTGTTCTCACATGAGTACTTATAAAAGTCTGACTGTTTTCAGTATATTATACACAAGCACGAGAATGCATTGGCAGTGGGAGGCTGGATTTGAGCTGTACTTTTGGTATTGGAAACAAACAAATATAGAAAATCTTGCACAAATTCTCTTTCTGTCTGTGTGACCATCCATCCTACCATAATTGATAAGGGCTCTGAGCCTGAAAAGAAGCTGTGGCAGTTTGGTGAATCAAATAATGAAGCAGTGTGTCTTTAATGTGATTCTTAAAGCAGCTGAATCTTTTAAGCTTTAAAGATGACAATCTGTTTGTTTTATGGAGAGTAGAGGTGCTCGGCTTGTGTGAGATCTCAAATATCTTTTCTAAATATGTGCTCTGGCTTAGCACATAAGCAAAGCTGTGGTTTTGGATAGTGACATTTTCTTTAGAGAGTCCTCGAGTTTACAGCCGCTCATTCAGCGACTGTTAAAAATTACAACGCCACTGAACGAGGGATCCTTATGATGGATCCATGAAGTTGTGCCCATTGCAGCTTCCTTGCAGTCACGTAATAACTATTTGTGAACTTCCCTGGTCACTTCCCACAAGCAAAGTCAAGGGGAAGCCACCAGGGAAAAACCACAAGCTGTTACCATGTTTGTTTTTTCCACTTTTTTTCCAGAGGAACCCCACTAGGGAGTATGTCTGCAATATCCCCCTGCCTCCCGTGCTCCTTAACGTCAGGTGGTCCAGAGGTTATGACACTAACCGGGACTCCTGGGGTTTATGCTTTATGACTATATTGCTTAGCAACAGCAATCCCAGTCCCAATTGCCGTCATAACTCATGGACTACCACTGCTGATTTGTACAGCACAGACTGCAAGGGGTGGGCAGCAGCTTTTCCATGTTGGGCTCTGCCCTGCTCTGTTTGTGTGCTGAACAGCAACTAACTCTGCTCTCCTTCTTCAACTCTTCCTCTGTGCAGAAGGCGGAACTGGAAGCTGCCATAGCTGTGCCGTGTGTTTTTATAGGCCTCCTGCTAATTGGCCTTTTGGTTTTCATGGGACTCAAAATTCGGGAGAAGCGCCAGACAGAAGGGACCTATCGGCCCAGCAATGAGGAACAGGCAGGTACCCGGGTGGAACCGCAGACCAACCTCAAGCTGCCTCCAGAAGAGCGACTTATCTGACAGAGGGAAAAAGAACTCAATTTTGGTGTGCTTAGCACACTGGACTAAAAAAAAAAAAAAAAAAGACTGAGGAACGGACCTGTGAAACTAAAAGACCCCCAGTATGAATGGTTGGCAGCATTTCCAGCTGGCTGGCTAGCTGTGAATAGCTGTCAGCAGAGAAGTCCTAAATGCCAGAAAGAGGATTTGAAGGCAGCCCGGGAGCTGTGAGACCCGGTAGAGATGCAAGATGGGATCCTGCTCTCTGCACCCAGAAAGAAAAGGCCCACCCTGATGCTGTGGGAACTGACCGTGCTGGTTGGATACCCTCTGTTTTCACTGTCCTCAAGGACAAGTCGTCCGTCGTCTTCTTCCTAGACAAAGATTGACTGTGCAGCCAGTGGGAACGGCTGAAGGGAGAAGGATAGGAAGGCTGCTGCCTTGGCCCGACTGGTGGATTCTGGGAGGGGATTTTGCTTTTCAAGTGTGGGCTTTTTTTAAGTGTGTGTTGTCCTCTGCTTTTAAGAATACCACTTTCTAATAAAAGGCAATCTCCCTTTTTTGTTGAGGGAAAAACATGGCACCACTTCATGAACTCTGTGGTGGGGAAGGGGTTAATGAAACTCAGTTGCTCGGTAGAAAGTTTAATCTGAAATGATCTCAATGCATAAATGGAGGACATCACTCACACCAAGCAATAAAATGAAGGAAACCATAGAAAGTCTCATTCAATCTTATCAAGCCATCTAGAAATTTTGCTAGACCTCACACATATTAAACATGCTGTCTCTTTATTCTTCGGTTACAAGTTACACCTTTCGTGTGTCTCATTTTGAAACTCTGGGTCATTCAATTTATATCCTATTTTTATTTTCTGTAACTCAAGGCTGGGTGTATAAAGCCCCTGCCTCCTGTTTTCTCAACAATCACCACTTTGGAGGTGGGCTGGGCTGAGAGAGAGAGGGCGACTGGCCCCAAAGACCCAGCTGGCTTTCCTGCCTGAGGGAGGACTCTCTCTACCCGCTTTTCTGGGCCTTGGCGTAGAGTGCAGGCAGTGTTTCTTTGATGCAGTGATGAATTAACTCTGGAATGAGGGCATAAAGAGACATCCAGGCTTCTGTACAGGTAATCCTTGTCTTATGCCTGTCTTTTAGTGATCATTCAAAGTTACAGCAGCATAGAAAAAAAGGTCACTTTTGACTGGTCCTTGCACTTACAACCATAACAGCATTCCTGCTGTCACATGATCAGAATTTGGGCACTTGGCATATATTTACGATGGTTGTGACAATCCCAGGGTCATGTGACCATCCCAGGGTCATGTGACCACCTGTGACAATCCCAGGGTCATGATCTTTCCATTCAACTTTTGACAAGTTAAAGTCAATGGAGAAAGCCAGATCTGCTTAACAACTGCGGCGAAAGGTCTTAAAATCAGATGCGACTCACTTAATGACTACCTCATTTAGTGACTGACGTCTTGGTACCAATTGCAGTTGTAAATTGGGGACTACCTGTAGCCATCCAAGTTCATGGGTGAAAAGCTAGTTCGGTGTAAGAAACTTACAAAGGAATATTTTAGGCTTTGGCAGACACTAGGTGGCAGCACAGTACTGCATAGCAGGGATTCCCCAACCCCTGGCCCATTAGGGGGCTGTGGCCTATTCAGAACTGGGCCGCACAAGAGGTGGGCTAGTGTGTGTACGCAGTTCCACTTGCACGAGAGGCTTTCCAAAGGCTTCTCTCTTGCACGAGTGGAGCTGCGTGTGTGCATGCACTCTGGCCCGCCTCTTGCGCAGCCCAGTTCCCCTCCCACCCCAACCAGGCCGCCAAGCCACCTGCTCCCAATGCTCCAAAAGCAGAGCGATGAGAGCAGAGGCTGAGTGGGATGAGTGCACTCTGCTCAGCTTCACTGACTCACTGAGGCTGCCTGTGCAGGAGACCTGATCCGTTTTTGGAGTGTCGGGCAGCTTCAGTGAGTCTGAAGGAGCACGAGACTCTGCCCCCAAAGGCTTCTCCATGCCAAAAAGCTTTTGTAAATGGATGAAAGGCTTCGGGGGCACGATCTCACGCTGCTTCAGGCCTTCCGTCCCTTTGAAAAAGCTTTTGGCATGAGGAAGCCTGAAGGAGTGTGAAACCGCTTCTCTCTTGTCTGCAGGCGTGCCAGCCCACTGCTCGCGCAGCCCGGTTCCCCTCCCCCCGTCAGACCACCAAGCTGCAAAGGTTGGGGACCGCTGCTGTATAGTACCGTATACAGGTAGTCCTCGACTTATGACCACAATTGAGCCCAAAATCTCTGTTGCTAAGTGAGACAGTTAAATGAGTTTTGCTTCATTTTAAAACCTTTCTTGCCAGTCAGTCACTGCAGTTGTTAAGTTAGTATCAAGGTTGTTAAGTGAATCTGACTTCCCTATTGACTTTGTTTGTCAGGTCACAAAAGGTGCTCACATGATCCTGGGACACTGCAACCCTCATAAATATGAGTCAATTGCCAAGTGTCTGAATTTTGATCTGAAAGGAGGATTTTTAACTCAGGTTTGGACAACTTTAATGTGTGTGTGTGTGTATATGTGTGCAATGGAAGCTGCGGTGGGGTGGATAATTTCATTTATTTCTTATCTTAAAATAGCAAGAATCAATGTTGCCTATAGCTGGAAGCACTTGGGAGGGCTACCAAAAAGTATCTATCTTAACAGAATAATTAAAGTTGACCCAGTGCAACCTAGAAGCTGAAGAAGTCTTTGAAATCACCCACTAGATTTTTTTTCCTTCAGGAGTAACCTCACCCTTTTATGACCTCTTATTTCTTTTAAATCTTAAGGGATTTTATACTACCTTATTGCTGCTTGCTAAAACTAGTTATTTCTGGCTGCTCTTCTGTAATTATTTGCATAGCAACTGGACCTAGAAAGGGCTTATCTTAGTTCTGTATTATTGGTCTGATGGATCCCTAGCTTTATCAATGCAGAGGGACAAAGGATTAGTTTACAGTTTACAGAAAAATGACCAGCAAGGGATCTCTCTCTCTCTCTCTCTCTCTCTCTCTCTCTCTCTCTCTCTCTCTCTCTCTCACACACACACACACACACACACACACACATAGAACTAGAGCTACTTTTCCTGATGTGCTGTTTGAAAAAGGTTGACATGGGAAGCACTCTTCCATACTGGGCAGAGGAAAGGGGCTCTGCCCAGCTCAACAAATTCATTTATTGAAATGCAGGTTCTAGGAATGAAGCCCCGCCAGTTGGCTGCACATGAACTAAGTGCTCCTTTTCCTTTGTACCATTGATAGACACCCCCCCACACACACACCATCTTCTGCTTCTCGCAGTATTTTTATGTGCCTGGACAGATGAAGCCCTTCTACGCTGCTGCTCCCTCTCAAAAGGCCTCCAGGTTCAAAGGGTAATTATGACTCAAACACAGAAGGTTCTTTTCTCTTAAACATTGTCTATTTTCAGGATGCTCTTTCAGGCCTCAAATCTTTTCTTCAGTTCCAGCACCCTAGGCTGCATCGATTGCCGAGAAACTAACTGGGATGGTAAACTGGTGACCCTACTTAGGTTCTTCTTTGCTACAGAGTCATTGGCTTTTGTTTGTAAAAAGTCTGCAGATGATTGGATGGTGGAACTACTAGCAACCAATGACTCTACCTTTGGGTTCTCCTTGATTGGAGGGTCAAGGGTCTGGTCAGTCCTACATTCCTGTGGCAGCTTGGTAGCAGTGTGGCTCTGTGGTGTAACTGAACTAGGAAAGGCAGTTTCAAGATCTGCCTCCTGGGTCAATGCCGCTTCTGATGGCTCATTGCTAGCCTCCTGGAAGGAAAGAGTGGGGGTGTCCAGACCAGGACTACCTTGCAGCTCAGGGGAGCTGTGGACCAACACCTCGTTACTTGTGCTTGCAGCTCTGGCAGACAAAAGCAAAGTGTTTGACATGTTCTCTTCATCCGTGTAGCCCAGGAACACTCTATCCTCAGACAGAGAATCATCAGCATGGTCTTGTTCTTCAGATAGGGCTTCGTAAAGGGCCTCTCTACTGGGCCTCAGCTGCAACAGATCAGAAGACAACGGGGTCAATATTCACACCTTTCCCGTGGCAGCTCCAGTGGCACCCCAGAGTCTGAGCTGGTGGGGCCTACCTTAGTATAGAAGTTCTCTTCTTCTAGGTTACAGAAATCCAAACTGCGGGTTCCGTAGAGAGGCTGTTGAGCTTGGCTGGACTCCAGCAAGTTTAGTGTCTCAAAAATTTCACCTAAGAGGTCAAACTTCTCTGCATTCAGGGAACTTTCACCTCCCTCAGGTTCCACACAGGAGTCTGGGGAAGGCGATTTGAAGGAAGCTGAAACATCCCTGGAAAATAAACATATGAGAGAGCTTGACATTGTGAGGCAGTTAATAAAATACAAAGGAAACAATTTTATTAGCAATTGGATTTAAATAAAAAGATTTGCTAAAATGCGTGTGTTTCACTTCTTCCTCTGTAGGGCTCTTCTCACAAAAGGTGCAAGGGAACTAATTAATAAAACAGATGAATTGGTGTTTTGAAGCTGAGATTCAAAAGTAATACTTAAGAAGCTACCAGATAAACTAATCTCAGTCTGGGTTTGCACAACGCTACTAGTGGCATTCATGGGGTGGTCAAAGGGGAGGAGCCAAATTAAAGCAGCAGCATTTTGTCTCTGCCTCTTATGGTTATGTGGTGTGGTGCTGCGTACACATACCAAAAATGTTGGAGCTTGTGAAACCACAGGGCTATGCCACTTCCTTCATTTTGAAAAAGCCTTCAGTCCTGCACAGAACTCTGAACACTTTCACTGTATATTAAAAAGCACCCTAGTGGCAAGGTTTTTTATATTTGCTATGAACACAGGCTGTATGCAGACCCTCTATAGACTTCGTTCCATGCTCTTTTGAAAACTCTCCCCAAAGATATATGTATGGTTTTGTTCAAGGAGGGTGAGGTTCCTGCATTTGCCCAGATGAGGAATTCTTGATAAGTGGTACTCATCTAAAATCCACATTGCCACATTTTTAATTAATTTAAATTGAGGCATTTAGCTGTAATGCATTAGCAGAGGAAATAGTATAGGTTTGACTCTCTCACTAAGGAGTAATTATCTTGTTAATTTACCATTAGTTAAGAGTTAGTGACCCCTGTTCCAATGGGTTTGAAAATTAGTTGATGCTTTGTAACAGGGACAATCTTTTGGTTACTATTTTTTTCTGAAGCTGGATTTTTGACTCCATTATATAAATGAGGGTGTTTCAAGTACTGTACTCAACTGTTGCTCTTCAGCTACAATTACTCTTCCCACTTCAGGGGATCCTCAATCTTTGAATGCCTAACATCTATATGTGTTTTCATCCATCTCTTCTTTCTTTCTTTCTTTTCTACAAAAATATGCTAAAGTGATCTAGGCTTTGGAAATTGCAAGTCAATTTTCTACAATCTGAACAGAGATAAAAAGGTCCATGGAAAAGTAGATAACTGTATGATGAACGTACCCTGTATAACAGGGGAGAATTAGTTTTTCCAGAGTCGATACTCAAGGTGAAAATGTTGTTTCTTTTTCTTTTTACCCCTGGACATTTTCAAAAGAACAAATATGTAAATCCCCAAATTTTGAAAAACAACTTTTAGGGCAGGTTTCCAACCTTTTGGGCATCAGGGACCGGTTCTGTGGAGAGAGGTTTTTCCGTGGACCAGAGAGTG